GGCTCACCTCCTCTGTGCTGGGAGTGGTGCTATGGTGGCCGGGGATCGTCCTCCTGGGTGCTGGGATTGGCTCACCTCCTCTGCGCTGGGAGCCGTGCTATCAAATAGGCTTTTTTCTTACAATCAGTCAACTGAACATTTATCTGGAAGCAAGTTCATAGCATTAGTAGGGTGGATTATATTAGGAGTTTGACTCTTCCACTAATCCAGCAATGATTGAGAGGTTTCAGTATATTCATCCATGTGTCTATATGTTTACCTAATATGCTTCAGATAATCCAGATTTCTTTTCAATGAGAGTGATGGGCTTGGATTTCTAGCAACATTGTTTTCTAAGTTCATTTAAACTTACTTGATTAAATGTGTCATATTTTGCTGGGACTGAAGCATATTCATCTTTTTGACATTTTTTTATGTCTTTTCAGCTGCTTTGAGTCAAGTCAGCAAATGAGATATCTATGCGTCTTATTAGCAATGCATTTTAGTTCCATTAGCAAATATGAAAAGTGATGTATTCCTCTTGACAGCCCGTCTCCATAAAAACTAACTCTAATGCTAGAATTCATCCCTAGAGCCCACCATCAATGAAACACCCAAGAGATATCACCCCCTTTCGAATGTTTTTGGAAGTATTATTAATAAGTGCACAATATTTCTCACACAGACATGTGTAAGATGCCATACTAAAACCTCACAGGCGAATACCACACTGCAGATAGCTGATTATAGGGCCATGCATGTGGCCCAGTTGACTGTTTATTTTCTGTGATAAAACATTTTTCTTTTATGTCCCTTATCTCTTTCAGCTGTTTGAGCCAACAGAATGTGGAAATGGATATGTAGAATCTGGGGAGGAATGTGATTGTGGCTTCCATGTGGTAGGTATAAAAGGCCTTCTCTACCGTTAGAAAACCCTTTCTCAGAGGTAACAAGAACAGCAGTAGGGAGAGGTCCATGGTATTATTCACTATGGTCTCATTGCCTTCCTTTCCCATTGCTCTGATTAATGTTCCTGCCCAGCTCAGACAAGTTAGGATTAGTCACATCCTTACAGCTTTGCCTGAAAAAGCCTGTTGGATTGCTCTAGTCAAATTCTCTTCCTCTTAAAAATTCTTAGCTCATACTCATCTTAGATAAGTTTTACAAAATCATGAAATAGTTTTCAATGTTGTGTATTATTTTTGCCCCTTTAAAACTAAACTGGATATTAAGGATGTAATACAGCTAACAGGGTTGGGAAGGTCTGTTAAGAAATAAGCATATTCTTTGATAGAGGTGCCCTTTCTAGATCATACTCTATTGAGAAATATGACAGAAAAGAGTCTGTCATTGTTTAAAGTGACTAATTCTTTCCTAAAATATTTGCTTATTATGTAAGTGTATTTATTTGGATTGCACATAAGTCACATGCATGGAGTATGTTAAATGAACAGTGGGTAAGGTTCCTGGCTTACTCTTAATGCAATTTTTTCTCTAGGAATGCTACGGATTGTGCTGTAAGAAATGCTCTCTCTCCAATGGGGCCCACTGCAGTGACGGGCCTTGCTGTAACAATACCTCATGCCTTGTGAGTTCCCTGATACTTTCATCTTTCTTTTAATTGACAGATTAGCCTACTATCTCAGTATGCATATTGAGCATTTGGGTAGCTTGTCAGAAATTTATGCATATTGATTGGCCTGGTAATTTTGTAGAATCAATAATTTCACTTAACTTCTGTGGGTCACGTTTACCTTTTCTGTTATTCACTACCCATTGCCTTATCCTACAATGCCTCCTTAAGAAAATATACCATATGGATTCCAAAATAAATATTGAGAGTCACTCTATTAACACAGAATCAAATTAAATTGTCAGAGAGGAACAGTTTTTATGATCTTTTAAATAATATGACCTGCTCTTAACATTTTTTTTTCAAAACTTGCTCTAGACCCAGAGCATAAAAGCTAGTGCCCATATTTTCCCACTTGGCTTTTTGAATCCTCTATTAAGTCAGGAAAGCTAGATAAAGATGTAATTATGTACGTTTTTAGGTGCACAGTCTGTGTATGTGTGGACACAGTCTTCCATTTGCAGTGACCTCCTGTTAGTTTCAAAAGGCATTTTTAATGTTTTTCTCATATAGAAGATCTGTGTTAATCCTTACAATCATAAAATTCCATGATTTTATTATTTTTCTATACCAAGGGATATTACACATTAGGATATTCTAAAAGATTCTAGCATAGCTTGTTGTTGCTCTTGCCCCTTAGCAGATTATAAATTACTTGAGGCTTTTATCTTTTATCCATCCTCTCCCCAGACAAACAAAATGTTTTGCATATTATAGGCAGTCACTGGCATCACTGTAGATGATTTATATGAATTCACTGTCATTTTATCGTGTCTGTTTAGCTAAGGTAAGATTAATATTCATGCTAATGGATAACTTAGTGAAGACTGTGTATGTGTGTCAATTTTTCAGAGAGATCTTAAATGTTTTTATTGCAGTGTTTTGCTTCTTTGTCTTACACCAAACCAGTGTTTCTTCTTTATGTGATTCCCATCACATTGGAATTATTTTAAAATAATATTCAGAGACAGTGGGTTTTGAATCCTGACACTTAATATCTTGATTGACAATTCATCTTTAGTATAGAAGGCAGCATCTGGGGTTTTGTTTCTATTCTGGACCTCTTTCACTAATTCATGAAAAAGGTTTGGTGGTGGTTATGAGAAAGCATAGGGATTGTTAGGGAATATAAGAATCATAGCTTTTTTTTCCCGCTACTGGGGATTGAACTCAGGACCTTGCACTTTCCAGGCAGGTGCGGTGCCACTGAGCTATATCCCCAGCCCTAGAATCACAACTTTTTGAAATATTAATTGATACTAGCTCCTAATGTTGGGTTTTGATTTGCAGTTTCAGCCTCGAGGATATGAATGTCGGGACGCTGTGAACGGGTGTGATATTACTGAATATTGTACTGGAGACTCTGGCCAGGTATGGCAAACTATGTCTCAGGTAATACTTGGTACACATTTTAAAGCTTGCAATATAGATTCCATGTGTGAACATGCTTTGATTTCTTTTAGGTTTTATTTTGGTTTCTGGTTATTTCTACCTCTTTGACATTCTTTTATTTTGAAAAAGTTTGGTATGTTGTTTTTGGACCTATATCCTTTTCTTCTTCTTCTTCTTCTTCTAGATATCCCCTTCATAAACAGTTCTCTTTTTTATTTCGTTTTTTTATATTTTATTTTTTAAGGACATGTTTGCAGTACATGGTGATCACATTCATCATGGGGATCTGTACATGTGCATAACACATCTTAATTCTTTTCATTTTCATTTCCTCCCCCTCCCCTCCCTCCAACCCTTCTTCCTCTTTTCTTTATATGATTTATATATATCTAGGTAATTGAATTTTTCTTGGCCCCAGTATATTAAATAGTACATTTACATTAATAAAGCACTAGTAAGCTGTTTTCAACCATTTTAAAGCTACAAACCCTTTCTTTTACCAAAGTGTGAGTGGGAGCCCAATGTAGAAAACAAAGAGCAAGCAGCGGTGCTCTGACCGAAGTAGGACTGGAAACAAGGGCCGCCTCCCTTGGTTTCTGTTGCTGCCTCTTTTCCTGTACATAGCGCTGGCTCTGTGGCCTCTATGGTTTGGCATCATTTTCTGTCCATTAAAATTAATATAACATTTTAGTTAGTGTTGCCTTCTAGAATTCTCTCTTCATGCACTTTTTATGTTCTTTCTTTATATTACATTAAGTATTTGTTACTCAAACATTTGTTGGCTGTGTGTCAAGCTCTGCTGTAAATGCCAGATACAAGTGGGCGGGAACAAGATTTATAAGGCCTTGTTTGTATGGAATTTACCTTCTGTCTAGTACAGGAAGACAAATAAACAAAACTGTGAGATGGCATAAGATAAGGTCATGTGAAAGAGAGGTCGGTGGGGGCATTCGGTGTGTCTTCCTGGAGAAGGTAGTGTCTAACTAGAGACACAAATAAGAGGGTGCTAATCAGGAATCCTTAGGTGCAGAAGCTTGGTTCCTTCAGGAAATGGCATGAAGGCATGAATAGCCAGAGGATAGCAAAAGAGGTTCAAAAAGGATTTTAGGAATCAGGGCAGGTTAGGGCTTGTAGGCCATGCTAAGGATTTTGAATTTCATTCTACCTTCATTTACATTTTGACATTACTTTAAAAGTATTTCCCTGAGGTTTACCTAGTATGCTAGAGGGCCTGATTCAATCCCCAGCACTGATGGGGGGGGTGCATTTTCTTGTACAGTTATACAGTTTTTAAAATAAATATCCTTTTCTTGATCCTATGAGAATCTGTCATGTGGATTTATTAGTTGATTTACCACCTAGTGGTGAATATTTAGATTTTGGCAGTTTTCATTGTTTTATTAGTATGGAAGTGAATACTTTTGTGCATTTTTAGAAATGTTTCTTATTCAGTGTTAACCTTAGTCCTGAGGATACGTTCCCAGGAGTACTTTTAAATATATAAACAAATTTCTTTGCAATTTTTCTAAAATATAATGATAGAGTATAAGAATTGTGGGTTGTACTTTCATGACAAGTGTGCTGACAATCCTGACATACTGTTTCACTGAGTTATATTTTTAGTTTTGTAGAATAATATTATTTTTATAATCCACATGTGAGGTTTAGTTCTCTGTACTCAGTCCTTTTAGAAGTTTTTTTACTTCAGTCTTTAACACTTGAATTGTCATGGAATTTATCAGAAATAAGGCTTTTCTAATGGGGACTCTTGTTCATTCTATTTTATTGTCAAAGAAAAATATATTTTTCTTTTTATTGTGTGCATAAGGTGAGAGTTGTACTGTTAATTTCTTACTGGTATATTAGCATAGAATTTTCCCTTGGAAATAATTTTTAAAGATGTTCAGAAGGAATCCAAAATAAATAATTGGAGTAAATCTTTCAAAATTTTCTTATATTCTGTAAGAGACAGTAAACCTTGAATGCAATTAATGCTAATAATTTTTAAGAATATAGAATCTCTGCAAATCTGTGTCTCTAGGCAGTATTTGGACTTTATCTTTTACTGCATGTTTTTGCTTATTAGCATTTACTGATATCCCTGAGCCACTTAAATTCACGTTATGGCAGAATAAACAATACATGTACATCGAGAGAAATCCTTGGTGAAAAATGTAGGATGATATGATAAATATATTTGAAAATGTGGGAAATGGTTTTTGTTAGTGCTGTGAGATAAGTCATCTAAATGGGTAGTATAATACACTTAAGTGCTTCTACACTATTGAAGCCTGCCTCAAAATAGGGATGGCATGACATGTACAGACGGAACTTGAGCACAATTCACAGGCAGAACAAAATACTCAGATTATGCTTCTTCCGTTTTAAAAATCTTGAGAATATACAAAGCCCCATAAGATAATAAATGTTTCAGTGATAAACAACTAGCTTTTTTAGCCTAAACCAAAAACGAATTGATTAGAAATCTTATCACACATGGCTATGGCAGTTTATAAGGACTTCTTTTTATTACTGAAGAATTCTACACATTTTTCCTGCTTGAAATATTATGAAAGTGAATATGACAAATTAATTTTAGACTCTGAAGTGTCTACTCTAGTAGCACCATTTTGTTTGCATTCCTGTTTACTGTGGTTGCATTAGTTTTAGAGTAAGTGAATAATTAATGATAGTTGATTAATGAGGTAATGACTGTGTTCTGAGTGAGTGGGTAGAGATGAAAGATGCACAGGGATCTCTGCAGCAATGCCGTTGGCCCAGTATTTCAGATTTCAGTGCCGATAATTGCATCCTTGGAATATTCACAGAAAGGTTGAATGAAAAACTGCAGTGAATGGAGCATGTGTGAGAGGCAGTTATTCTTTAGAATGACACAGAACTCCACAGCATTTTATCTTGCAGTGTTCACTCGTAGGTTACTGCTCCTTAGGAATGCTAAACTAGTTCCATTGCCTTTCTGTGATGAACCTGATAAACTGCCTGACATGTGGAGGATAGAATAAATTAATTACTCTGGTTTCTCTTCAGATCGCATAAATCTTTTGCCTTTAGAATAAGTTAGTTGCATCTGTATGGGTGGTGCGTGCATTTTCTTAATAGTAATTGAGCACCTGCCATGTGCCTGGTATTGTTCTGGGTGCCAGGAAGGCAGCAGGGAACAAAGGATACAGTCCTGCCTGTGTGGAGCTCACATGATGACAGGAACAACAATAAATAAGTAAAATGTATGAATTGCCACTTGCTAAGGAGAAGAAATAAAACAGGGAACAGAGAATGCCAGCCTCGGAGGGAGGTGTGGTTTTACAAAGCATGATTAGAAAAGGCCTCTTTGAGGTGATGATATTTACGCAAAGCTGCCAAAGAAAGGATGGAGTGAAGCATGCGAAAGTCCTGGGTGAGATTGAAGGGGCAGCAGAGGCCAAGTGTGTGGGCTGGCTGTAGGCTTAGCGATCGTGAAGAGTCACATAGAGAGGGGACAGCGGCAGGAAATGAGATCAGAGAGACGACAGAGCCAGGTGGAGAGGGGCAGATCACGAGGAATGACGACTGGAGGCCAGTGAGTAAGTTGGGAAGTCATTTAAAGGTTTTGAGCAGAGAAGCAGCGTGATCTGGCATTCATAGTTCTTAAAGGGACCACTCTAGTGAAATTCTAGACTATGGTGAGACCACAGGGGAAGCAGAGGATCAGGTAGGAGGCTGCCAGCCCCCTGGAATACAGATAGAGATGGCAGTGGCCTGGACAGGGGGTTAGCAGTGGAGATGGAGAAAGGTGGTCAGGTCTGGGATATCTTGAAGCCATCAGGATTTGTTGACAGATGGGGTGGGAAGTGTGAAAGAATGAGGAATAGGGGCTGTCTCTGTGGGTTTTGTCTTGAAAAACTGGAAGGATGGAAGGATGGAGGATCATTTACTGAGGAGGTGAAGAATGAGGGAGGATCCTAGTGCATATTTATTTCTGTTTCCCATTTACTTGTCACACCTGTGTAAATTTTCTCCTTTGTATTTTGAACATGGTAGCAAGAGCCTTTGAACTGACCTTTTCTCAGCTCTCTTAAATGTGCAGAAAATTTAACTTCACTTATTCAGGATAACTTTTGGGGAAGAAGTGAAGATATATTTTTAAAATTAATTTGATTAAAGAGGAGGGAGAGGGAAGCACAAAGCAGTGATGGGGGCAGGTAAAAATGATCCAAGTATTCATATGCATGTACAAATCTCCCAAAATTAAATCCATTGATCTGTATAACTAATGTATACCAATAAAAAATATTTAAGCCAGAGATTTAACTCAGTGGCGTCACATCTGCCTGGCAAGCGCAAGGTCCTGAGTCTGGTTTCTGGTTCCAAAAAGAAAAATTTAAGAAGTGATTTGTTAAATGGATCTGTAAAAAGAAATAATCATCACATCACTTTGAGGGGTCAGAAATGTCACGGCTATTACAGCAATTACATTGAGTTGAAAGGCCGAGTGTTTCTTCTGTTTCAGAAAAGCAGCCCATAGGTATGTGTCATGGTGTTAAATGCAGACTTGACATTTTCACAGAGCATAGCGAGGTCTTGTAAATTAGTTCCTGAATAGGTCCACTCCTACATAACAAGCTGATTCATTTCCTTCACTGTCCATTATAATTCCTTCTACTTTGATCTCTGTAGACAAGTGAATATAATTTGTTATTCTAGTCCATCTCATGGTAAATAAAAAGTATAAGCATTCATTGCATGGACCTAATTTTCTTTTTTATTTATTTCTATCAGTGATAGAATTCATTTGGATAACTTAAGGACTTTATGTGTGTTATTCAAAAGTTTTCTAATTATATATTTATCATGCTTGTACTTTTTCTCATTTTTATATTTTGAGCACATTATTTGGAAGTCCTGGACACACTGTACATTAATTGAAAAGATAATATTTTTCAGTGCCCACCAAATCTTCATAAACAAGATGGATATGCCTGCAATCAAAATCAGGTATTCTAGGCTTTACATTTTTAATTTAATTTTAAAAAACATAAGTTTGAAAGATTTTTTTTCCTTTTTGATAAATGTAACTTTGGAAGGAAATTACTCAAGTAAATTATTGCATTGTAGTTCTAACTCAGAGTTGTTTTATGTCATACCGATTATTAAAGATATTTAACTCTGGTGACAAATTATCCAGAATGAGGGAAAAGAAAAGAGATACAATAGTTACACAATGCAGAGTCTAATTTACTGAGCTGTGACTATCTTTAGATCACTTCAGCCTGTCTGTTATGGGAAAATATGGTAATCTGCTATAACATGTTTTTTTTGAATGGTATAACCCCAGCATTCACATATATAAGAAGCTAAGAAACATTTAAGTATCAAAGAAATGTACCATCTTTTGCTTTCCATGAAAATTTAAAATTTTAGGTCATGACTTGGCTTTAGAGAGCTATATTATGAGATCTGTTCTGAGTTTTAAATTTTAAATGTGTAGTGTCTTAAGCATCTGTTAAGTTCATGTTCTTATTGGTCACTATAGAAATATAGGCGTATGGAGTGAAAAACCTTACCTCACCCAACCAGCAGGAGACCTTGTTCACAGTCAGAATTGTAAGAAAAACAGTGCTAGTCACATGTGCCTCACTCCACGTGTGCTCTTGTCCCTAGGGCCGCTGCTACAATGGCGAGTGCAAGACCAGGGACAACCAGTGTCAGTACATCTGGGGCACAAGTAGGTTGCGTCTTCCTGCTCGATGGTCACACGCTCCTCTTCCTCTACATTTCACTTCTCTTTCAGCTTTGTTGACAGAAATGCACAGCTTATAGTGATTTAAAGAAATCTAGAAAAGAGTGAGAATAAAGTGAACTGTGACTCTTAGTCACAAAATCTACACCGCTCAGTGGTATGGTGCAGGAAAGGCGTGGATTATATCCTCAGCCTCCGCTGCCAAATAATAATAACAACACAAAAACTAGAAAACGACTCCTCACCCCAAGGACTTGTCTGTCATTGGAACTGAAGAGTGTTACTCAGTGAAATTCATCGTCTAGCTACTTGCATGGCTTACTTTGTGCCTTGGCCTTAACATTTACCCTTCCCATCCCTACCAGTTAGTTTCCTGTGTCTTTAACCTAGAAAAATACTAGACTTATTTAAAAAATTCTTCCATGCAGTATCTCAGTTCTGCACATTCTTCCTAAGGAGTAGATCTGTACACAGTCATAAATCTCAGAACATTCCCCAAATGTTAATACACATACTCTCTTTCTGACATTTACCATGCCTCACCAATGGCTTCAGTTCTTGAGGATCAGACGGGGAGCTTGAGAAATGGGTCAGCCTTGCTGCAGAAGCTGGGTACCCTCAAAGGGAAAGAAAGAAAGCACACAAAAGCAAAGAACCTCTGGCAATAAGCAATTTCAGTGTTTGGCAAGTGTCATTTATCTGTGAGATTTATATTCCATGCTTTGGTTTTGATAGAGGGAAGATAATTGAAATATATGGTCTTTTTAAAAAATTTAAATATCAAAACCCAAGTAGCAATATAAAATCTCAGTGGGCTAAGACTTTATAATTAATCTTCTAATATTAATGTAAAACAGGAGTAAGTGTTTGTAAGTGTTCTGTATGTCACTTCATTGATTCTTGCTGATGAGCCTTACCACTGCCCATCCTCACACCCACTAACAAGAATTAGCAGGAAGTTTGTTTCTCACATTAAATATAATGTTGTGTTGGAGTTTTTTGAGTAAGGTCACAAGAACCATTTGTTAAATTTCCCAGGATTTGATAACTGAGTGGACCTCACATTGGTAGCCTGAAATCAGCCCTGTGATATTTACACCATAGAAATTATTAAATGGTACATGTCAGGATTTTTTTTTCTTTTTCCCAGAGAATCAGTTGTTAGAACATTTAGTGACATCTTACTGGTTTTGGATAACGATGAGAACTAAAGTTAATTTTCTTTTCATGCTCATCTCCAAAAGAAGCTGCAGGGTCGGACAAGTTCTGCTATGAAAAGCTGAACACAGAAGGCACCGAGAAGGGCAACTGTGGGAAGGATGGAGACCGCTGGGTCCAGTGCAGCAAACAGTGAGTGGGAAACCTGCATGCAAGTGCAGAATAAGCCCAAATAAATGCTGCTTCTGGTTTTGTAAGTGCTCAGATATTCAAAAATTTAGTGTGAGGGCCAGGGATTGAGCTCAGTGGTGCTGCTGCCTGCCTCGCAAGTGCAAGGTCCTGAGTTCGATCTCCGGTACCAAAAAAAAAAATTTAGAGTGTATATTTTAAGAATATTTTGGCATACGTAGAGGCAAATGACAACAGAGTAAACTGTCATTGTGCTATAGACTCACACCCTTTCTGTAGAAGTCAGAAAATTTATCATATGCTCCATGTTACCTGATTCTCCTTTTGAAGCATATTTTGCCCAAGTATTACAAATGAATGTTAGGTTTTAATTCTCAACTTTTGCTAGAATATGTGGTAAATAAGGACTAAAAGGTATAATAGACAATGTGAAATAGGAAGAAAAGGGCAAAGGGGAAGGGGAAATGGGAGGGGTAGGGGAAAGGAATGAAGGGAATGGAATTAATATGAGAAAATGGAAACAAAATCTTTGTAAATAGAGATGGAGGGGTTGAAGAGAGAGCAGAGGAAGGGTGAAAAATAAGAACCAAGAGAGATTATGTAAAGGTGCAAATTTCCAATGATGAATGTCATTATATTGAATACCTAAAATGTACCAATGAAATTTAAAAAAAAAAAAAGTTTTAAGGAGAAAAAAAAGTACTATTTTGCAAAGTTTAAAAGGCAAATAATGTAGACAGTGAATATTTTGAGGATTCCTCAAAGTAAAATAATAATATACTGTGTTGTATTATTTTTCATTGCCGGGACAAAATATCTGACACACCACAACTTGGCTCATGGTCTCAGAGGGTTCAGTCCACAGTTGTCTGGCTCCAAGGCAGAAATGACATGGCAAAAGGGCCTGTTGGAGGAAAGTTGATCAACTTATGGCAGCCAGGAAGCAGAATAAGGGAAGAGTGCCATCGAGAGATATGATGACTAAAGCCACACCCCTAGTGACCCAACTCTAATGTGCCCTCCCTCCTAATAGCACCTTCAACTGTGAGCATCAGTGGATTTATTGTACTGATAAATACAGTGCCCCATGACCTAATCACTTCTGGAGTCTTTTAATAGTCAAATGACATACATTTGTAATCATCTCACAAATGGGGCCCCCTTTGATTTGATATTAGTCATCTGATATCTATATTTGAGACTTTTCCCTTCTGAAAAGCACCTGGTTAGTGAATATTGAAAGGTATCTCTACCCAGGAAAATGAGACTCTTTCAGAGAACATTGGTTCTGTTTCCCTTTGGTTGGTTGAGGAAAGTTATAATTGTGGTTTAGGAGTTTATTCAGTTTAATTTAGTGGCTTTGGACTATGGAACCATTAAGTTATAAGTCAAAGGTCTTATATTTTCTTTCCATAGCAATGAGGATTTCCTTCTCAATTTTGAAGCAATGCAAGGATTTAAGGAAGGTTTTATTTTTCTAGTTAATTACCTCTGTTCTTTAAGAAACTTTGCAATTGCGTATAGCCTTTGATGGTGAAAGAGGCCTTAGGAGGCAACAAATCTTTGGCTATAGTTTCTTTAAAACTAAATAAAAGTAATGGAGGACAGAACTTCCCATCTAATGTCTTTCAAGTAAAGCATAGATCTTCCAAGATGTTGATGCTCAGTTATTGAGGTGTCAGGGAGTAGGAAAGGATTGAAGTAGTCAAAATCTGTGAGTTGGGCCATTCTGAATTTCATTACCTTTATTCATTAGCTCCATGTCTTAGACAAATCTGTTCATTGCCCTGTATCTAACTTTGGGAGGCATTGGATTAGATGATGGTGAAAGAGATCTTTTCAATATCTGGTAATAGAATATCCAGTCCGCAATGAGTTAAGGAAAATTAGTATATATTTCTGAAACTTTAAAAAATATGAAACATAATATATAAACTGACAAGTGAATAATGGTCTCAGTTACTTTTCTTTTGTCACTGAGACAAAATACCAAACACCTAAAGTTAAAGGGGAAAAGGTTTATTTAGCTCACAGTTTGTAGAATTTTCAGTCCATATTGGCTTGCTCCAAGGCTCTGCTCCATGGCAGACTGGCATCATAGAGGAGAAATAGTTCATAGTGAGCAGAAGCTAGCAAAGTAAGCGAGACCAGACAAGCCTCTTTCTGCCCCTTATATTGTATCCAGGTCAGCAGGATTAGGGTAGTCCCAAACAGTCAGTGGACTGATTTAGTAATCACACACCCTTAATTGGAGCACCCTTAATCCTAGCATTGCACCACGAAGCAATCATACACTCTAGATCCAGCCACCTCTGAAAAAGCCCCACCTATGACTGCATGAGGCTTTGGGGGAATATCTAGACACAAGCCATACTAATAACACAAGTATACTTTCCTGCAGATATTTATGATGTGAACTCCCATGCAAGTCCTAGTTGGGTCAAGTACTAGAATGCAGCCACATCCCAGAAATAATGTCTCCTTCCCCATGTCAGCTCCCTATCTCTTTCTTGGAGGTCCCTTCATCCTGACTTTTGTGACAGTTACTTTCTTGCTTTTCTATAGTTTTATTTCCTAAGTTTTCATCCCTAATACTTATGTATTATTTTATATTTTGCTTCTGAAGTTCACCCTTTCAAGAGTTTTGTTCATAATTGAGTACTTTAACAGTTTTTTCATAATATGCTCTTCATTTTCATTGTTCATTTATTTCCTTTTTGTACATGCACATGTGAACACACTACAATTTAGTTCTCCATTCTATGTTGATGGACATTTGATTTATTTCTGTGTGTTGCCCATTAGAAGCTATACTGCTGCCAGCATTCTTCTGCATGTAACGTAGAGCACATTTGTACACATTTCTCTTAGGTCTGTACCCAGTAGAAAATTTGCTAAGTCATAGGGAGTGAATATTTTCAGCATCACTAGATGATATTAAACTGTTTTCTAAAAATGGGGTAAAAATCCTACCATCAGTCATATGTATATTAGAATTTGTTGTACCACATTCTCACAGATTTTTTACTTTTATCTTTTCTGGTGAGTGTGACTATTACCATTGTTTTAATTTGCATTTCCCAGGTTCTAAATGGAATTTAGCACATTTTTATACATTTATCAGGCATTGATTCCCTTTTCAATGATGTAATATTTCAGTTCTTTATGCATTTTTTTTTTTGTACCGGGGATCGAACTCGGGTTCTTGTGTTTGCAAGGCAGGCATGGGAACCACAGAGCTAAATCCCCGGCTCTTTATGCATTTTTGAAGACTCATTGTTTACTTAATCAGTAGACTGGAAGTAGTTGTCCTCATGACGGGTGAGTCATATAACAATATTCCCAAGGACCTAAATGATTTCTACTCTTGTGTAATCCTTACACTGTTAGTTTTTTCCTGGTGCTTGTGAAGTCATGATTTTAAAGTAGACGCATAAACTGCAGATTCACAGGAAGAAAGTAGAAATAGGAGCAAAAGATTTTTCTCTTGTTAGGCTTTAATCTTTTATCCATTAACCAAAACCGGTAAGCAGTTCTCTAGCTGAATTTTTCTCCAATCCCTGTAGCTCTGTCCTGTTTTTAGCTCTAGAGACTGGGGAGGAGGAATGCATAGGAAAGGTTGTGCAGGAAATGGGATCTCCATGACTAGCTTAGACCAGGCATAGTCCATCTTCAGGGCTGTATGCATAATTCCCCTAAACTGAACTGTGGACTTCTTGACGGGAAGAAGGGGGTCATAGCCAACCCCAAATATCTGAACAAATGTTTTTATTTTAAAGGAAAGAAAATGTTTCGACATTATGAATATATGTGAACTGAAGTGTTTTGATTATTTTTTGAGCTTGATTCCTCCTGTCTCGATCTCTCTTTTTTTAAACATGTTCAGTGATGTGTTCTGCGGATTTTTACTTTGTACCAATCTCACTCGAGTGCCCCGTATTGGTCAGCTTCATGGAGAGATCATCCCAACTTCCTTCTACCATCAAGGTCGAGTTATTGACTGCAGGTAACATATTCAATATTGGAAAACTTCATAAAACATAAGAACTACAAATTGCAAAAATTAATTTTGAAAAAAATCAAAGTTTTTCTATTTATTACAAGAGAAAAGTTGACTTCCCTTTCATATTGAGAGTCACTTAAAAAGGTAGTGTATTAAAAAAAGATAGTGTACTGACTTGCAAATTAAATTTGCTCAAAATTGTGCAAGTTATTCATAGTGAGGCATTCTTTCAAATCATAATCTTACAAACAGAATTATTAAAGGTTAAATATCCTTCATCACAGATTCTTGGGACCAGAAGTGATCTGGTGTTTGGGATGCTTGCTTATATGAGATATCTTAGAAATTAATTTATATTCTATATACACTTATACATATATACTTTATACATAAAACTGAAGGTAATTTTTAATTTATATTTTAAATTTATTTTATCAACATAAAGTATAAATTGTACATATGCATGGAGTTCAGTGTTATGTTTGCATACAACCATACAGTATACATTGGTTATGTACAACCAACTAACCTCCACCCTCCTCATCTACTCCAGAACTCTTCCAAATCCCTCATAATCATTATTTATTTTCAAGTTAACTTTCTTTAGTTTCCACCTAAGTGAACATGAGGTACATGGTCAAATGTGAAATTTTCCACTTGTGGTATCATAATAGTGCTCAGAAAGTTTCAGATTTTGGATCATTTCTGACTTCAGATTTTTTAATAGAAATACCAAGTCTGCATTCATTTTAGCCCATGATTAAAATTTTGATCATTGAAATATGTCACTATTTGTACATGATGTATATGCTTTATTCTTATGACAAAAAAGTTTTAAGCTATACTTTATGTAGCATGTGTCTAGTTTAGAATATAGCTTTGACACATAGCTGATCATATATACAAAATATTTATTAAAATGTTATTTATAGTTGTCAGCACATATTTCATATTTAGTTATCTTGTGAGTACAAGACTCATAGTTATGAGCTTTATTGTCTTTTTAAGCTGGGCAGTCTTATTCCAAGTAAGTATCATTCCCTTCGTAGTTCTGAGATACCACTCTCTTACCTAAAGATTTGTTGTCTATATGCTTTTGAGATTTCCCTACAACTTTGTGTTCACCATCTGCACTTTTATTTTTTGTATCTCCAGAATGCCAAACTTTCATCTTATATGAGCAGATGTAAGATTTGGAATTATGTAAAAGTAATTTTAATAAATTGATTGGATTTCAAATTGGATAATGTTGTCTTAGACAAATGATTGCTGTTTTCTTCTCTTTTTAAATGACTTTATAGGCTGAGCAGGTTTTGAGACAATAAGATCATTCTTGGATTAAATTTATAGTCTTCAAAGTTAGTTACTTTGATGCACACAGCTTTCTTTGTATGTGTACATTTTCACTTATCTTTAATAGCCTAGTTAAGTTATATTGTTTTCTAAACTAGCATGTCTATAAAATATTCAGCAAGATACTGTTAGTAATTATAGCATTGTTTATCATTCAAGTTCAAGTTGCTCCTTTGAAATTTTAGGCATATCAATAGAGAACAACTAGTTTTTTTATTTTTTCAATTATGAATAGTCAAATCCTCTGAAGTAAAAATAATAATTTTCAAAATATTTTCATTTGCTGTTTTTGCTCAACATCTGGTTTTTTCTATGATGCCACATCTGGAAGCTTTGGAGATCTAATGGCAGATTTGCTGCTTTGTTCTTATACAAACGCCTCTCCCTTAGTCTTAATATTGGGTGTTGGAAAACAAGTGAAAAGTTCAAACACATGTGTGCAGATGACAGTTTTTTTTTATTAAGAAAAAAGAAGAGAAGAGTGGAAGGATGCTAAGAGAAACCTCTGTCCTCACACAGGCTCTTCAGTTTCATGAAGAGCAAGCTTACTCATGCTGATGTTGTATTTATAATTACAGTGCTAATGGTTGTGTGGATATCTTTCTCCTTTTAGTGGTGCTCATGTAGTTTTAGATGATGATACAGATGTGGGCTATGTAGAAGATGGCACACCGTGTGGCCCATCCATGATGTGTTTAGATCGAAAGTGCCTACAGATTCAAGCCCTAAATATGAGCAGCTGCCCACTTGATTCCAAGGGTAAAGTCTGCTCAGGCCATGGGGTAAGTAAGCACCAATCTTTTGGCTCAAACTCTTCCCTGCCTGGCATCCTGAGAGTTCGCAGTAATTACACTTCTGCTATTTTCCTATAGTAACTATTGCCAGTATCTATGCACTGATTATAATTATTTTCTTAGTACTTTTATCTGCTAAGAATAAACTATGTGTTAATTTTTTTGTTTTTCATATCACTGGCTATTTGTATTCTCCACATTTTCCAGATATAATTTAACATCTGTAGTAGGATTCTGCAGAAAAACAGAATCAGTAGGTCTATCTATCTATATCTATATATCTGTATAATTATAAAAGGAATATATTATAAGAAATTGGCTTACATTATTTTGAGGGTTGAGAAGACCTACAATTAGCTGTCTATAAAATGGAGAGCCAAACCAGGCATGTACTCCTGTAATCCCAGCTACTTTTGGAAGGCAAGGCAGGAGAATTATAAGTTCAAGTTATCTTGGGCAATTTAGCAAGGCCCTGTCTCAAAGTGAAAAAAAAATGTATCTCAGTGGTAGAGTGTTTGCCAAACATGTGCAAAGCCCTGGGTTCCATCTCTAGCACTGCACATTAGAAAAAATGGAGAGCCAGGAAAGCAAGTCCAAAATTTAGACTAAATCCAAAGGCCTGAGAATCAGCTGGGCCAGTGGTATAAATCCCAGTCCTAGGGCTGGAGAACATTAGATGAAATGTTCCAGCTCAAGCAGTGAAGTGGAAAAAAAAAAAAAGGGGGGTGAATTTCTCTTTCTCCTCCTTTTTGCTCTATTCAGGTTCTCAGTGGATTGGGCAGCGCCCACCCGTATTGAGAAGAGCATCTGCCTAATGGAGTCCACTGATTCAAATGCCAGTTTATCTGGAGCCATGCTCACAGATGGCAGACACATCCAGAAACAATGTTTAATGAGGCATTCCATGGCCAAGCCAAGTCTCCATGTAAAATTAATCATCACAACATTTAAAAGGTGGAATAAAATTGATATGGTTCTTAAAGGAACTGTAGACCTCATATGGCTATCGTGCATAACCCAAAACAAACTGTCTCAGTTACTCCCATTCAGATGAGTATGCACATACTGAATATCTATGTGAGCAAGGTCACACTAGACTAGATGTTAGAACATGGATGATATTCACATATTTACAGTTATGCTTGGACTCTTGTCAGCCAAAGAGAAAATGTTGTCTCTATTCACATCTGCATGTATCTTTAATTCTGTGAACAGTGTTTGGGCAAGTTTTGCTTACTAGAAAATGTAAGCATTATATCAAAAAACAAGTTTTAATAGTTATTTAATAGAAGGAAAAAGTGGAAACAAAGCTTTTGTAAATGAGGAGAAGAAGGGTTGAAAGGAGAGGAGGGAAAGGGGGAAAAAAAGAAGAATCAAGAAATATTGGGCCAGGGATTTAGCTCAGTGGTTCTGGTGCCTGTCTCG